CAAATTGAGCCGTCGGGCAAGTAAATCAAATTATCACTTGCCCGATTCGGGCAAGTGATACTTTTACAGTAATTTCCTAGTGTCCAAGAACTCTACCATTCACCCGTCAACTTCTTACCCGTCGTCAAAATCCAGAAGCAAAAAAGCGATCGTTCCGATTTCGAAAAAACTTCACAGACAGCTAGCCAGCTCAGCTAGCTCAGCGCGCATGCAACAGTGACACTTCAAGCCATGAATGCCGCTCCGCCTCCACGCACGGCCGGCCGTGAGCTAGCTAGAGACAGCTAGCGCGATCGTACCAGCTGCGAGCTTATTCGCGCTCTCTCTCTCTAGCTCTGCAGGCCGCACCGACAGGCCTTTGCTATTCTCTGATTGCCGATTGGTTGAATCACGCCAAATATGACGTCATTAATCTAGGGAAATGAACACGTGCGAATCGGAATGGAATAAACAACAGGGATTTTCTAGTAAGTACAAAAAGTCAAATGTTTGATATTTATTCATAATGACTGTTAATGATTGTGAACATATTATTTAAAACTCGCTGCTCATATAAATCAGATGAATGTTTTTGTCTCGTTTTTCAATTTATTACTGCGGTCTCAAGATCCGACCGAGCGAGTCATTTTGATAATAGTATCGAGACCCCCAGAATATAAGCCGTTGTTGTTTTGTTTTCATGGTTTTAGCGACGTTGTTTAGTCTAGTTTTCGCATACTTATCCGAGATTTATCGTAAAATATCTTCAATATTATTATTTAGTAAGAATTTACAAATTTTGGCATGATATTTATAGCAGTGAATGATGAAATAAAAATGTCCGTACTTTATTTAAAATAGTTGATTACCCATTATTTACATGACGTTTCTTGATGGAAGAGTTGACCCAAATTATTAACAGCTGAAAATTAGCCTACGTTTCCAAATGACAGCGGCTTGCACAGACACACATGTGATGTTGCACCATGGTACATGTGGCTACCATTAATGACATGTTTGTATCATATTTTTTACAACAGGGTCATTATGCTTTTTTACATGACTGAATATTAAAAACTTAAACCTGCTTGAACCATTCTACCTTGCCGAGATTCATGTGAATCTGATTATTTATGGAGAATCAATAAAATGCGTTTTTTAAACCTTCAACCATCCTTTGTTGACCATTTTCTTTGACATATTAGGTTATTATTCAGTACAGTTACACTGTACATGTATGTGCATTAATTTGCTATCTAAAACACTAACTTATCATTACGAGATAATAAATGCTTTAACCTCGAGTCCTTTTTCGCTTTAAAGTTTTGGGCAAGTGGAAATATTGTTTGGGCAAGTAAATTGAAAACCCACTTGCCCGACAGGGCAAGTGGTGAAAAAAATTCTTGTAGCACCCTGAATTTGTCATGAAGGGTGATATTTTATATTACATGTAGTTTTTTTAATAGCCATATCATTATATAGATATATATTGTCCCAGAATTAACTATAATTAGATATTAAAATGTGAGATAAATTTTGGATATGCGCAGTCAAGTATCATGCTGAGGGTGGAACAGGCTTTCATCCTTTTTATAATTAGAATGATGGGCTTATACTACTTCTGTTATGGTGAGCTATTGTCTTTCTTTAATTCTAAATTAATAGTACCTGCAAAAAATTCTAATTGCACAGAAATGGAAAAGTGGATGGGCATGCCTCACTGGACACACAGTACATGTACATGTACTTTCTCCTGTCCCATTTACATTTAACTGTTTCATATTTCTTACTTCTTTACCTACTCTGGTTTGTGCACATCGGTCTAATCATTGCACTTCATGTGAGTAGTGCTTTTCAAGAACAAGATTATTTCCTTTTTATTTTACTGATAGCATGGTCCTGAAATCTATCCTAAAGTTTGATGTATAGGGTTTTGATTTGATTTCAAGCATTGCCTGAAAATCGAATCCAAAATTGTTATGGGTACATTCTTAATTCAATATCATATACACCGTTCCAGTACATTTGTCAATTCATCTTCAGTAAAAATGTGTCACGCATGTGAACAACAAATTTAGTCCTCACATTTAATGAATAATAACAAATTATTATGATAACATATGGTTTGTCTGAAAAATTATATTTAAAAATGTATATTTGAATATTCATCCAATAAAATTGGTGAATAATTAACAAATTAAAACCTTCTCATGAGAAATACATGGCCATGGAATGTGATCTAATGTGGTGAATCTTTAGATAGTCATGCCTGAAAATTGATGCATTGTAAACAACCAACAAATTGAAATCTGATGAGAACTAATAATTTGTCATGAAGGGTGATATTTTATATTACATGTAGTTTTTTTAATAGCCATATCATTATATAGATATATATTGTCCCAGAATTAACTATAATTAGATATTAAAATGTGAGATAAATTTTGGATATGCGCAGTCAAGTATCATGTTGAGGGTGGAACAGGCTTTCATCCTTTTTATAATTAGAATGATGGGCTTATACTACTTCTGTTATGGTGAGCTATTGTCTTTCTTTAATTCTAAATTAATAGTACCTGCAAAAAATTCTAATTGCACAGAAATGGAAAAGTGGATGGGCATGCCTCACTGGACACACAGTACATGTACATGTACTTTCTCCTGTCCCATTTACATTTAACTGTTTCATATTTCTTACTTCTTTACCTACTCTGGTTTGTGCACATCGGTCTAATCATTGCACTTCATGTGAGTAGTGCTTTTCAAGAACAAGATTATTTCCTTTTTATTTTACTGATAGCATGGTCCTGAAATCTATCCTAAAGTTTGATGTATAGGGTTTTGATTTGATTTCAAGCATTGCCTGAAAATCGAATCCAAAATTGTTATGGGTACATTTTTAATTCAATATCATATACACCGTTCCGGTACATTTGTCAATTCATCTTCAGTAAAAATGTGTCACGCATGTGAACAACAAATTTAGTCCTCACATTTAATGAATAATAACAAATTATTATGATAACATATGGTTTGTCTGAAAAATTATATTTAAAAATGTATATTTGAATATTCATCCAATAAAATTGGTGAATAATTAACAAATTAAAACCTTCTCATGAGAAATACATCGCCATGGAATGTGATCTAATGTGGTGAATCTTTAGATAGTCATGCCTGAAAATTGATGCATTGTAAACAACCAACAAATTGAAATTTCATGAGAACTAATAATTTGTCATGAAGGGTGATATTTTATATTACATGTAGTTTTTTTAATAGCCATATCATTATATAGATTATAGATAAACTGCCAGATTAAAGCCTTCTCAAGGGAACAGAAACTGATAGTTTGTCATGAAAGTGATCTCTTATGGTACATTTCCATGCCAGGAAACATCATGCAATTGTATGTTTAGAGCTAGAATCGTGTTAAAGGTAAAGGCCAGTATTGGAAACGCCCCAATTTCAAAAAATGAAAAGGAAGCTCTCATTACCAATCATGTGAAAGAATATGTTTTGACTAATACATGATGATACAAAATTTGCCGGGAAACCGCATACTAATTCATATATTTGGTAAATTTGTTTCTCTCATGGACTGTGAGAGATATAGGGTAGTCCCATATACATCTTTCTGTGTATAGTGCTTGTAACTTTACGGAGAATGGGCCGAATTTCTTATCATTTTGATGATTCCAGAACCTTGCAGATGCTAGATGCTAGATGATCAACCTTTTCTGATCGATTCCACAACGTTTCTTTCACAATGCAATCGCATGACCATAACTGGTCTTTACCTTTAACTCGTGTGTAATGTTATGAGTTAATGCCCTTTTGTCTCCAAACAGACAACAAATTAAGTTTCTACAGTACATACTTATTTTGGTAAAACAAGCTGAACATTGTATGACACGATTTAGGTTGAGTGGTTCAGATCTAAGTTAGATTTCTATCCCTCGGACTTATACATTTATACTTTGATTGCATCTTTGTAAACAAGTTGCTCTTTTAAATCTTATCAGAGCTGAATCATTTGGGGGTTCTCTCCCATGTACTTGCACCGTATATTTGTTTTGAACAACTTTCAAAAAGCAATATTTTATTAATGCATAATAGGGCTGCGACGTGTAGTCGAATGCTCGAGTACCCGCACGGTTGACAACTACTCGGGTACGATTTCTCGGGCGCTGGCATGGTGCCGTTGGTAAAAATGTTTCCCAACTCAAGCCCTGTCAAACTCACCACTCAGAAACTGGGAACCAAATGTCTGGATTTCTGTTTGGACTTGTAGGAAATTCTGCCATCTTTGGTTTTTAAAACAGCATTGTTTACTGTTATTATTATTATATCATTGGCGCCTTCAGCTGCAACCTGAAGTAAAAAATTGCATGCGTTTTCGGCGACAGAACTGGGATACACAATGTACTGCTCCAAAAGTATGGTGGTGGCAAAATTTAAAATTTAAAAAAAAAATTATTAAAAAACATGGCGTCCGAATATTCAAGTATTCGCTTGTAAGCCTGGGAGTGTACTCGGGTACCTCATTACACTGTTGTGCACAGCTTTAATGCATAAACACCAATTCTGAAAGCTGTTATCTAAAGGATCTTAATTAATTGTTCATGTTTTTTGTTTTTAACGGAGTCAGTTTAATCAAATTATTAATTGATATATTGATTATTCTACAGAGCGATTAATATTATAAGGGTAGCCTTTTCCTTTAAGTCTGTCAGAAGGAAGTTCCCACCATCAGACTTTGCCTTGCTCTGATTGGTTGATACAGGCCATCCACTGCTAGATATTGATCTGCTTGTCTGATCAACACCAAGCAGAGAACGGTGGCAATGCGCTAGTGACCGATCAGTAGCTGTCTGCTGCACTTACTGCCACTTTGCTTCGACAATTTATAAGCCAGATGAGTGCCGATAGGATGTGACTCTGCGATGGTTTTTGTTTGCCAAGGATGGCAGCTTGATGATTGGTGCACAGATATGGTACTCTTTCTTTCTTACACGTAGGTGGTTGATTGGAATTAAAGCCTCAGATTTGCTGTTTGGACAAGCTAGAATTGCAATGCAGAAGTTGCCATATACATGTAGTATCAGTGCTTTTAGTGATTACACAAGTAGGTGAGTTCAGCCTTGAGTTTGCTGTTTAATGTTTGAATTCGGGCAGTGCCAGGATTTTATGGCGTGTTTCTTCCAGTTTTCTTTACAGAACGTGGACATTGCTCACTTTTCAAATGCTGGTATTTCTTTACCTTGGCACATTACAAAATTTGGAACGAAAACATAAAGCCTTCTGCCCTTCTTCCAGTGACATTTGACACTTCAATTAAGGTCATTCTTAGTTCCTGGTTTGATCATGATCATGGGCATATAAATCTGTAATTGATACATATTGTTCAAGGAGTGATGATCTTTTCATTCCTCCCCCTAAACAATAGGGACTTTTAGATTTGCACGTCATAGTGGACTGCTATGTGTGACAGACATCCTTTCAAGGCACTGGCAGTGCCTTGAAAGGATGTCACAGTGTCTTAAAGGGAGGCGTTACTACTTCAGCTAGAAGGGATTAGACCACCCAGTGAGCCATCGAGGTCATTGTGACAGGTGGCTATCTCATTAACTCAGCTCTCATGTAACATAAGAAAAAGAGGATCATGGGGGACCAACAGGCACCGATTTGGGAAGTTTTCTATATAGAGGGAGCAAGTAGCTACAAGTAGGACAGTGTGCCTTTAAAAGGATGTTACAGTGCCTTAAAGGGACGTCCCACGTAGCAGTCCACTTTGTCAACGTGCAAATCTAAAAGTGCCTAATAGGTATTAAGTACAGTAGGCAAGATGATGATCATACATGTAGATGGCTATTGATTTAACTTATTTTCTTGCAGTTACCATGTACTGTAGTAATTTTTGTCAGTTTTTGTTCAAGGGATCTCTTTGTGGGATTTGCTTCTTTTTTTTTATTACCAGAGACCCTTTGGAGCTTTCCAAAGCTAAAATGTCTTCCACTCATTTGTATTTTGCCAATGACTCTGAAACCAATAGAAGCATCATACATGCTTACAGTAATTACACAATTGTTTTTGCTTGTGATGGATGAGTGCTTATTATGGAGCGGTTTTCCGGTTGCCAGCCAGTGATATGGCCTGTTCAGTGAGAGAAAAATACATGTTACAAATTTGTTTATATTTTATGTTTTTAAGCTGATCTTAAATGGTACAGTTACTATTCAACCATGAGTCAGAAAATTATTTAAAAACGTGTATAACAAAAATTAAAAAATAAACCAAACTGTACCACATTTGCTGGTTCTAAAGATCAACAATATGGGAAATGGCAGGTATATAATTTACTCATTCAATACTTACACATGGTATGTAGAATCTATTTTGATTTTGCATATCATCTGTTCAGAGCCAGAAGGGCATTAACTCATATGCTTTAAAGGTACTATGTCCCATTTGCAGGCCAAAAAAATGAAAAAGTTAAATTCCAACTGCATTTGAAAGATAATACTTATTTAGAACTTCCCTAAAAAAGGTGGGGCTTGAAAATGTCTTCAAGTGGGAAAATAATGACTACAGTTCTACAGAATTTGAGGTTGGCTGAAAAAGGGACTTAGTACCTTTAACACATAGTTAAAATCAGTTAACGCCCTTCTGGCTCAGTCCAAAGTCCAAACAGATGATATATTCTACTAATGCGTGACTTAATTTGTACATCACCTCGTTGTGTGAAAGGATAACTCTCATATATTTTATCCTAATTTAAAGGGTATTCCAAACTTGATCGCAAATTACTCTAGAATTTTTTTTTTCGAGAAGCCTACTGGTGAATGTTTGAATGAAATCAGACAAGAAATGAGAAAGTAATGAATTTATGAAAGTTGCAATCACTATAGATATGGGCACTTCAAATTGACTGAATCTGTAATTTCTCTGTGATGTACGTAGTGGCAGACAACTTTCCCATTTGTTCATACACACAAAATGATTCAAATGTCAACTTTCTAGAGGACCTGTGATGTACAGTGCCCCAAGGGTGAAGGAAAAAGAAAAACAGAAATTAGTGATATTTTTTTTTACACAACTAAAGGGAGAGTTATCTGTCACAATCCACTGACAAAATTGCAGATTATTTTGGGTCCAATTTATTTCAAACTTTCGCCCTTCTGATTTATTTGCTTTCATTCAAAAGAACTTATTCCAAGGTTTGGATTGCCCTTTAAATTTTGTTTCTGTCATGCAGTATCTATTAAGTACATGTGAGAGTGCTACTAGTTGTCAATTATCACGTTATTGATTACAGGACTCTCAATGATTGCTAGCTATCAATCAGTATTCAGGGCTTCATTATGATAGGCTAGCCTGTACATACATGTACATGCATGTAACATGTACTTTTGTTGAGAACAACATGTATTCTACTAGGACTACCTGTATAAAGTCATGGTAAAATCTACTTTATTCCACTCTGACAATAAACCACCAATTTGGACATCAGCCAATTAGATCAATGTCCGGGACAGATCGAAGGGTAACCTGATTCAGGATCTTCTTTCGATTGGTTTAATGAGTTACGGTATGGTATCCTCTTACTTGCAATTTCCATTCGCTCACCAAAGCAACCTCGAGTTTCATAAATTGTATACATTCGTACATATCACTAGTAACACATTTTCTCATGCAAATTCGATGTTTGTTTCATTTGTGCTACCACTAAATTAGATGTTTCCTTTTTAACCAGTTTGAGTGAATACCCGACCATATACAATACAAATCAACCAGATACTCAATCTCATGTTTTCTCTCCAAAGCATCCACAACATGATTATCATTTAGTTTTAAAGTACAAATGTTTTCCTGACCTTGTGATGTGAGATATTCAATACAGGCTGCAAATTGAGACACCTTTTTGCTGTCCAAGCAGTGTTAGGTATCTCTGCATGAGAAGCATGGTGTAAGACCTCACATTGTTAAGAGGTATAACCTAAAGGTTCTTTAACTGAATTGCTATTTGAGGGATAGATATTTACATTTTAAATATTCTACAACTCTGCAGTCTCCTTGAGAAGCATTGTCAGTAAAATTGTATGTATCATTAGGCCTGCTTTCATCAGCTCGAGTTCAAGTTGCCAAATAACCAGCTATATGTATTATAACTATCCTGATCGCAAATTAGCCATTTAATTTGCGTCCTCATCAGCCCGCAGTTGCAATTAGCGGGATATTTTCTCTACCACATATACTGAGAAATGTTGGTCTTGTTTCCAAAATATCCCACTATTTGGGAAATAGCGGGCTAATTTGCGCCCGTCCGAGCTAGTTTGTGATGATCGTATTGGTCTTGTGAAGACGCAATTTTGAGCTTTGGGATAATATCCTGAGTCTGGGAATAGCGGGTTATTTGGCAAACTCGAGCTAATGGAGACAGGCCTATTGGGCATAAGATACCTAAGGAAATATATTGAGTATGATTTGCAAGGTTATGATCTGCACTTTTAAAGGTCATTGTAAATCATGATTCATGATAGGGATTATTATAAAGGAGTGTTTTTCTTCTCTATTGCAACCCGTTTTTGTATCTCATGTGTCTTGATATATGTGTACTTTAGAGGAGTTATCATATGATGGTAAGATTGGATGGGAATCGGCTAAATCTTTTGTTTATCTGTCCTGATGAGAAATCAGAAAGAGCTTGCCTATCGTGTAGATATTAGATGGGATTGATTGATATCGCCTAAATCTTAGGATGAAGGTCAGTGCAATTTACTAAAAGTGCAAACTTCACTGTGTTTTCCAATATTGAATTCACTGAAAGAAAGTTACTCAAGATAGTCAATAGAAGTGAATTTTACATTTTAATCTATTTATCTACAATGTACGTATAGCGTAACGGTTCTCGATGCACGAGTGATGACGATATTGTCCATGTTCCACTTATCCAGATAAACCTGAACCTGGGTTTAAAGTCAAAAGAAAACTTAGACCTCTGACTAACTTCCTTTGTTAAACTCAGTTTAGGACAAGAGCCTAAACACAGCTTTAGATTTAAATCTTAGTAGAATATGGGTCTTAGAGTTTTTTAGCAAATTCTGGTTGTGAAAAATATGCTGCATTTTAAAAATATAAAAAATTGACTTGTATAGTGTTTGTTTCTGTAATGTGTTTACAAGTAAAATTGTTTTCTCTTCAGTATCATTGTCACTTGTCAGGTGTCTATATGGTATTTTGACCCCAGCCAACCAATGGTTGATTAAGATTATTCATTTTTATTATTTAAAAAAATATCACATTGTCAAATTACACTGTAACTTGTTGACTTTAACGATTCCTGGGGATTAGTTATTGATAAAGTGCTAACTTTTTCTGGATTGACAATGATATCACTTTCTTCTTCTCTCTTTTTCTCTCTAGATGATAAGCCTGGACACACTTATCATCAAGGCATCCTTGTGATCAACCAATACCTGCACGACCACCGCACCAGTTCTGTGTGGTTACACATACACATAACAGAACATTGTATACCAGCAACTGATATTGGGCTCCATCTGTTACTCGCCAGATTTGGCTGAACATAGTTTACGTACAAGATATCATAATACAAATGACAGACTGTTTTGCAAGTAATATCAGGAGCGGCTAGCTACGATGAAAGGAAGCCATTGCCTTGCAGCATTTGTAGTTTATTGAAAATGTTCCACGCCACCCTTGGATGTTCTATCCATATCTGTACATAGCTTCAATTATCTGGATTGAAAGCAACATGATTTTTCATTGTTAGAAGTGTGTGAAGATCAGTAAAGAAATTTTATTCTGCATGCTGTTCGGCATCAGTCCCCTGGGATCAATTGAGACAATAGCCCTTTCTGCGGACACTGAATTAAGTAAGATTTGAATATTTTGATAGAATAGCATTGCTGAGAAGCAATCCACTTGTGCAAGGACAATGAATGGACTTCGACTCTTCATCCTTACGCTTCTGCTCTTCATCTACCTCCTCCTCGGCGCTGTCGTGTTCCACTTTCTGGAACAAGAGAATGAAGACAGCGTTCGGTTGGACCTTGTGTCCATCCGTGATCAGTTACTCGCTGACTATCCCTGCCTGACGGAGGATACACTGCGGAACTTCACCCTGGGCTTGATCAAGGCTAGGAACAGCGGAGTCACCTTGGAAGGCAACAAGACCAGTCCTTCAAATTGGGACTTCAGTAGCTCTTTCTTCTTCTCAGGGACTGTAGTCACCACCATTGGTAAGTTGAAAATGGCTTCTTATATTGTCAGTGTAGGTCTAAGTTACTTTAAACATTTCTGTGCCACTAGATTTATGAACAGTTTATTTTTATCTTAATGAACTATTCAGACTACTTTTCAAATTTAGAGGTTTACCCTTTTGTTTTCATTGTTGCATGCAGGTTTGGTATGGTACTTTATTATCCTTGGTTTAAGAATACTAACTAATATGTCAAAAATAGTAAACAGTTCTGTGCTTGGATGGGCAGTCAGCATGTTTTATTATCAGATTTAGTGCAGTGCAAGTTATTGAGCACTAGAATACTCAAATAATTATGATTCGGCCATGACTAGCTTGTCACGGAATAAAATGAGCTCTGAAAATGCTACTACATGTAAGAAGTCAATAAAGATACCTGTAAGCTGATATTAATTAATCTATTTTTCAATTTCCTTTTTGTGGAATATTTTGTGAAATCAATGTAAAATGTAAAGTAGACTCAAGAATTGAATATAATACATGAAAATCAACCTGCTAGTCAGATATTCATTGTGAAACTAAAATATCTCCATATTAATGGAGAAGAAAAAGAAAAATTGAAATAATGGTACTTGTTAGCCAGTTTGGATTTATTTTGTTTTCAATCTTTGTGAAAGTAGGAAACCAACTAAAAGCACAAATTAATATTTCATTCTTCATTTATGTACATCGGTAACCACCAGACTCATTTTCATGCATGTTGGGCATAACATGTAGAAACTAACTTAATTACATCATAACAATGTCATATCAGTCTTATAAATATTAAAATACTTTGCATGTATGTGTTGTTATATTCAGACCATATAAACTCTCATCCCACTTACAATAAATGGCCACAATGTAAACTGGTATTGTCAGTTTCATGTTGTCAATACATGCATGTACATGTATACTAGAATTCCTTGTGTAAAAATATAATTATTCAGGTACATATGGGGATAGGATAAACATGTACAGGTGTATGCAGTGCAATCATATTGTGAGTCTTATATTTTAGAAATTAGATTAAAAAAAAAAACTTTTTCAAGCTTTTCTATAGAGTATTGTTTAAGGCATTAAAGGTAATACAAAGTTTTGGGAAATTTTGAAAATTTGGTGGATAGTGATTCTTTACAATTCTGATATCTTTGGATGCCCCTGTGGATATATTATAAGCACTAGAAAATTTACATGTAGCCCCTAAAACACTTCTGCTTTCGAGAAAAATTGAATATAAAAATTTACAGGTGCTCCCGGTAAATTTTGACAAATTTCAAATCTAGCGCCTGCGGCCGTACAATGGTATGTACATGTAGCTGCGACCATGAAAATCTCAGAATATGTAGTTGTGATAATTTCCAAACGGGAATAGCTAATTGGTCAATTTTAGTCATGAAACATATACATGTAGCTTAATTAATATCTTGACCTTTAGAGGGAGCTATACAACATAAAAAGTTTATTATTTACAATTTCATAACTTTAGACTCGATTTCAACCGCGACAATGATAACTGAATATTGTAGGATCGCATATGCTTCCAATATGTTCATTTAAACGAAATTAATGACCCCATACCAAAACTTTATAGGTACCTTTAATCAGGAGACGCGTATGTTGGCTCAGTCGGTAAAGCATCTACCTGTCCAACTAAAGATCGTGGGTTCGAATCCAACCCGGGCAGATGACTGAAGCCTGCGCTCCTCTCCCCTGTAGACGCATAGACGCAGGCTACAATGTATGTTAAGTGGAAAACACTCAATCCATCCCCCGAATAGGACATTAAATGGAGGCCCCTTGTAGAGGAGAGTCACCGCCTTTACATGTTACACCTTTACACTGCACTATTTGTATAAGAGTAGGGGTAAACCCTGGTGTTGTGGGTCCACATGCACACCCCCATGCCCCAATAAGTTATACTGAGAGGAGAGACCCAATTATTAAAGGTTACAGTGATCATAGATCTAGACCTGGTAGGTCTATGCAGTGATTCAGTTCGCCTTTTGCCTCTCACTAGTTTTTCAATATCACAATATGATGGGTAATTCCTAGTATTGTTTTGGTCAGTTTATTGAGACAAATAAGGAATTCCAGAGAAAAATATGTTTTAAACTGTGATAAGAAGGTTAGACTGAATAGATGGAATAAATTGGTGTGAAGTCCATCTCTTATTGAGGCACTGCGGTAAATAAGGAAGGAGACCCCTTCCCCTTCATACCCCTTTTCCCTTCATACCCCTTCCCCCTTCATACCCCTTCCCACTTCATACCCCTTCCCCCTTCATACCCCTTCCCCCTTCCCCCTTCATACCCCTTCCCCCTTCATACCCCTTCCCCTTCCCCTTCCCCCTTCATACCCCTTCCCCCTTCCCCCTTCATACCCCTTCCCCCTTCATACCCCTTCCCCCTTCATACCCCTTCCCCCTTCATACCCCTTCCCCCTTCATACCCCTTCCCCCTTCATACCCCTTCCCCCTTCATACCCCTTCCCCCTTCCCCCTTCATACCCCTTCCCCCTTCCCCCTTCCCCCTTCATACCCCTTCCCCCTTCCCCCTTCATACCCCTTCCCCCTTCATACCCCTTCCCCCTTCCCCCTTCCCCCTTCATACCCCTTCCCCCTTCATACCCCTTCCCCCTTCATACCCCTTCCCCCTTCATACCCCTTCCCCCTTCATACCCCTTCCCCCTTCATACCCCTTCCCCCTTCATACCCCTTCCCCCTTCCCCCTTCATACCCCTTCCCCCTTCCCCCTTCCCCCTTCATACCCCTTCCCCCTTCCCCCTTCATACCCCTTCCCCCTTCATACCCCTTCCCCCGTCATACCCCTTCCCCCTTCATACCTCTTCCCCCTTCCCCCTTCCCCCTTCATACCCCTTCCCCCTTCCCCCTTCATACCCCTTCCCCCTTCATACCCCTTACCCCTTCCCCCTTCCCCCTTCATACCCCTTCCCCCTTCATACCCCTTCCCCCTTCATACCCCTTCCCCCTTCCCCCTTCATACCCCTTCCCCCTTCATACCCCTTCCCCCTTCATACCCCTTCCCCCTTCATACCCCTTCCCCCTTCCCCCTTCCCCCTTCATACCCCTTCCCCCTTCCCCCTTCATACCCCTTCCCCCTTCATACCCCTTACCCCTTCCCCCTTCCCCCTTCATACCCCTTCCCCCTTCATACCCCTTCCCCCTTCCCCCTTCATACCCCTTCCCCCTTCATACCCCTTTTCCCTTCATACCTCGAAAAATCTAATGTAGAAAGTTCTATTGATTCAAATGAAACTTTTTTGGATATATTGATAAAGCTATATTTAGTAAAGGTTCTGCCTGCTGATTTTTAGACAATATATTTTGATGTCCATACTTTTTCTGCAGCCATATATTTGATTATAATATATCACTCACATACATGTACACAATCACTCACAAATATCCCACCCACATTATTCTCCTCAAATCGAGCCAGTAGGGCATTATTCTGATATGTACTGTAGCTTGTAGTGTATAGTGTACGAGACATGCATGCATTGTACATTGATTTGAACTTTTATTGATTGATATTGAGACTACACTAGTGGTGTAGGTATATTGAATGTCTGCCTGTACTTCTATCACCTGGCACTTGTCTCTCACCTGGCACTTGTACTCTCAGTACGTTCACTTCTCAAATTACTGCTGCAACAGTAACATTTCACCAAAGGCTCGTCATAGATGTGCGTATGATAACTCCATTGACAGCTGCAAGGATGTAGTGTTCGGGTGCGTTCAAGCGATTTTTTGAAGCTTGAATCACATATCAAATCGCCGTTAAAAAACATGGTTACTGCCGGAGAGCGCTCAAGGGGCTCGAGCCCCTCTCCCTCTTTTTTGAAAAAGTATGTTAAAGAGAAATAGAAAGAAACCAACCAAGGGCAAGGCCCCGGCAAGAACTCTTTTTTTTTTTAAAACTGCAAAATGCAAGACCACATTTACCTACATAAAAAAGAAAATGCGTAAAGATTAACTACTACTGTACATGTAGCATGGCAAACGAAAGGGACATACATGTACAGCATGATCACTGACATGTAAAGAAACAATTAAAGTACATCTAAGAAACATTCATACTAGACTGCAGCCAGCAGGCAAGCAGGGGTAATTACAGGTCCTTGACTGGGGTCTTTTCACACAAGGGGAAAACCAATACTACTAATAGAAACTTCTGACAGAGTATAGCAAAAAGGTCATTTACATGTCTAACAATCATACATGTAGTTAAAGGGCAATCCAACCCTTGTAAAGTTGTAATAAGTTGATTTGCATGAAAGCAGAAAATAACAGAAACAGAATGGCAAAAGTTTGAAATGAATCGGACCAATAGTACTACAAGTCTGACTATCTCATTTCCCCTGCCGCTGATTTTTTTGTATTTTCTCATCATTCTTTTGTACTCCTGCTATATAAATTCATGTTTGCATGAAACTAACTACAAGCTGCTTTTTTTATTCGTCTATAATGCATTTGTCTGCTTGTGAAAGTTTTTTGGATCAGCTATTTTGCAGGCTCGCCAGTCTAAAAATATTCTGCTGGAACTGTCATCAGGACTGGTATTGAATTTATAGTGGATATTTTAGCATTGCATGAGCTCTGTTCTTGTCGTCATTATCTATATGAATGTTTTGTGGGTTGTTTTCTTGTTACTACCACTTTGTAAACTTCCATTTTGACTTGATGGGTGTACACTGTATATCATGCTCAAATGTAACAGAAACAGAATGGCAAAAGTTTGAAATGAATCAGACCAATAGTAAGGAAGTTGTGAATGTGTGAAATTGAAATATGAGATCACTATAAGTCTATGCAAATCTCAAATTTTAGTCATTTCATATGTTGGAACAGATATGGGATAGTCCCGGGGGGGGGGGGGGGGGGGGGGGTACTCAGTTTCGGTTTGGACAGGGGTGTGCAGTCCAAGAAAAAGGTATCCGATTGGGGGATTTTTATCCAAATAAAGACCATTTTTTACCATTTTCGGGTTCGCATGTTCACATGTTCGCATGAATAATTTGAGAAATTATGGAAAAACGGATGCATGGTTAGTTATTTTTGGGGTTAAACATGGGATCCATGAATAGGGATTTTTTGTCAAATATAGCAACCTATTAGAGCGGCACATCCCAGTGTGTCTTAAAAATGTGAGTACTCCCCCCCCCCCCCCTCCCAATCATAAATTTTAACTACAGTACGTAATACATTTAATGAAAAACCATGCAGATCTTCTTGCTGTGAAATTAAATTAGAGATTACAGCTGTTGCAAATTGCCTATTGAATGCTACAGGTTGATCCTCTCTTTTTATTGTGGCTATGCTTGCAGATAGATGTAGCTACGTTACCATTACCCTTGAACAAGATATTAGACCAATCAGACTGTTTGAGAAAAATGTTTAAGTTTTGAAATTCCCTGTCCTTGAATCAAGCAATGCACGCTAGCTCAAGAAATTAGCTTGTACAAGAAATTAGCTTGTACTTCAATGTATAATAGGGATTTTTAGATTTGCGTGGACTGATACGTGGTACTTCAATTCAAGGCAGTGCTTTAAAAGGACGTCGATCGTAGCATAGACCTATTGTCTTCGTGCGAATCTAAAAGTCCCTATTATCGTCTGTCTAGAGCCAAAAGGGACTGATCAGGCCAATTACCCCACACAAGAATCAATTCAGTCTTCAATTTCAGGCTAATGATAACAGGCCCTATGAAAGAATTTCTGCAAATGCCATCCTTTCCGGCTTCCATCCAGGGCTGCATGAAAAGGCAGCCTTCTTACATGTGTATGTTTCAAATAGCAGTGGAGAGTGCACCACCATTGGCAAATAAACCTTCGTTTTGATAAATGGAATCTTTGGTGATATTGGTTATCTTGAGAGTGCAAATCCCTTGCTGGACTGAAATCAATTTTATGAGGGGAAAATATGTTATAAACATCAACATTTAGTTCATTTCCAACAGCGTACTAATTATGATTCATGCCCGAGTATCTTTGTATTTTCTTTATGATATTATATATGGATAAGAAACAAGATCGAATCTTTGTTTTCTACTATCAGAGATGATTATGTAAACTAGTGTCTGGACGGACTTATGAAAAGAAATTGTAGAGATCGAGGTCTGACTATCTCATTTCCCCTCCTGGCTATTTTGTTTATTGTCTCATCATCATTTTGTACTCCTGCAATATAAATTCATGTTTGCATGAAACAAATTGTATGCTGCTTTTTTTGTATTCGTCTAGACGTCTATGCATTTGTTTGCTTGTGAAAGTGCAGGTTTTGTGGATCAATTTAGATATTTTGCAGGCTCGCCAGTCTGAAAGTATTATTCTGCTGAACAAGTCATCAGGACTGGTATTGAATTTAGTGGATACGTTGGCATTGCATGAACTCTTTTCTTGTCGTCATGAATGTTTTGTGGGTTGTTTTTTGTTACTACCATTTTGTTAACTTCCATTTTGACTTACCAGGTAATGGATATATCATGCTCAAATGGTCCATACTGTAATATCAAGCTATGTATACTTTATTATTTCTTGTGCTTTTGGTTTTCTTTGGATCTTTGTTCATGGTGAAGAGCTATTTATATTAAACTTTATTTTTTCATTGTGTGGTACATGTTCACATACATGAAGCAATTAAATGGTGTACACTGTATACTGTAAAATTCCTAATCCCCCTCTATTATCTAATTAATTTCTGTTATATACATGTATATTGCACTCCTCATCATGTTTTTGTTTGTATTGAAACACATGTTTCTGCATTGATTTTACACTAATCTCTATGTATTGTGCGTACTCAAATATTTGCACTTCTACATGTACAACATGGAGTGTGTAATTGAGTACATTTCCTTGAGTTTTATCATTTGACCCAATTCCTGTATTGCCCTGATCCCATATTGATGTCTTTCAATGCATCATTTTGTGGTATTAATATGAGTGGGTAAAACATTGACGTTATTAAAGAAGTGCTTGTGTTCTCAATCATAGTTGGGCTAATTTATTTGCTCCTTATTTTTATTATCAAGAACAAATTACAATTTGAGGTCAAATGTATCTGTACTTAAAATGAGAGTACCAGGAGAATACTCATATGATAATTTGATTGATGGTCATATACATAAGTTCATCAACCCCACAATCATGTAATCAGACATTTCGTTGTAGAAGACAAATGGCTAGATTCCTCATGAATATTAATGGCTGCATTTTTTTCTATTCCAATATATTCTACAACACGTCATATTTGTAAATAATTTACCTTATCCGGCTCTTGAAATGCTGTCATATTCCAAATGTGACTAGAAATAGAAATGTTGGACTAATTTTAATGCTACATATACAGGTAAACCTATACAGGTATATGTAGTCACCCCCTATACCCATACATGTTTGCAGTGATTTCCAGCAAGACTGAGTAAAATTTCACAATTAACACACAAACAGAAGTGTTCTCTTTTCACCTATAACGTGTAGTTTCTTTGTTCAGACTTTGCTCATGAAACTTTCCCCTATTCACTTGCAATATATAGTCTAGAATATCCAGTGTAAGTTTGGTTTAATTCTTAGACTGGGTATCTTCTGTTGATCGAGAGCCAGTGTTAACGGTACTATGTCCCATTTGCAGGCCCAAAAAATGAAAAAGTTAAATTCCAACTGCATTTGAAATATAATACTAATTTAGAACTTCCCTAAAAAAGATGGGGCTTGAAAATGTGGGAAAATAATGACTATTAGTTGTCAAATCGACTATAGGGCTATAGAGCCCAAAAGTAATAGTCTTGATTTTCAGACAATTGTACCGAATGGTCTACGTTTTATGCTGCTCAAAGATTCAATCAGTTTAATCTTGGCCATCACAAGAAGTGGGTTGTTGATGTAGACAAATGCTCATGTACCTTTTACAACTCTTTTCATGTATGTTATTACCAAAGAAGAAAAAAAAGCCAGACAGTCACTCAATAGTGTCTGACAGTGAAGTCTAGCAAGTAAACGGGTTTCCTTGCATAATTTGAATATGAGGACACTGCGTTTAAATTTCACAGATAGGACATACATGACATATTCATAATTCTTGCAAAGTTCTACAGCATTTGAGGTTGGTTGCAAAAGGGACATAATACCTTTAACTCGTATACTTATTATATGTACAGAAACAACACCCTTCTGCCTGGTTATCAGCAGACAATATTTTGTGTCACTACCAGAACCCAAGATTTATCATGTGAAAAGAAAAAAAGAAACATGGAAACTGATGTCCTGTTTGCTCTTTTGTCTTTGGTTGACTTTGGCATTCTGTAGGTTATGGCGCTATTGCTCCCCGGACATACGGTGGCCAACTATACTGCATGGTGTATGCAGCCTTGGGGATACCTTATACTGCCTGGATATTGGCCAGTATTGGTGCCTTCTACCAAAAGACCATGGAAGGTTATATCGCAAGAGCGGACAAGGCTCTCATGATGTCAATCTCTAGAATCAGAATAAGGAAAATCTTTTTGGGCATTGTTGTAGCTGCTGGCAGCTATACCATATTCCTCATCATCCCAGCGGTAATTTTTATGTTTTTAGAACATTGGACATTTCATATCGCCCACTATTACACATTTATTACGCTAACAACCATTGGATTTGGGGACTACATAGCAACTGTAGATGGCCCTAATTTGGAACACTGGTTGTATGATTTTATAGTGACGTTGTGGAACATCCTAGGGCTTGCGTATCTTGCTGTGATTATAAGTGTTATAGGCAAAGGAGAGATGAAAACTGAGGGCAGCATACGGAAGTTTCATGCAAAAGTGTTAAAAAGACATAGAAATTTGAAAACTGGAAAAAAAGATGAAAAGGTAGCAATGTCGTCTCTGGAAGAGGTCAAATTCAAAAGAAATGCAAATGGAACTGCGCAAAACAAGGATGAAAATGAAAATGGAGCGCTTTATTCATCCAGAAATTCAGTGGTTGGTGATGTTATCTTGCCTTATTTTGTTGATCCAGAATCAATGAAACCTGGCTCACAGACTGATGCTAACGAAGATAGCAACGTGGACGACTCTGAAATCTTTGATGAGGTGGTTACGATAGATGGGCGGATTGTAGAGGATGAACGTACTAATAACATGTGCATCATGTTGGAGTGTGAAAATGACTTTGACCTTGAGGCTGTAGAGAAAATCATTCATGCTGCACTTGAAGAAACAGTTCCCACTCAATTGGGTCTACCTCATCACAGTTTTTCCTTAGAAAATCATGTCCGGCATCCAAAGAAGTTGTGTACACAGGGTACCCAAACAGAGTAACATTTAAAAGACTTTAAAATCTACAACTGTCATGTGTGTGATGATTATATAATTGGACATATATATACGCCTGTATGTATCTATGTGTGTATGTATGTATATATGAACTGCACAATTTCATATTTTATTGTATAAAGATTTGAAGAAACATGTAGGCGTACAGCAGTATACATGTGTACATGTAGTCATTGTACATGTAGCTTCTACCCCAAAATCAGTTTTTTATTTTTTTTATTTTAATGTGATGATAGTGCTGTATACACTACAGGGTACAAATGTGGAAGTCCAAAGTGCCACTGAAATATTTAACCCCAAAAATATGCCTTCATGAAATTGTATTGTTTATAACCATGAATTATAATTAGCCAAAATTGAATTGTATTCTTCAATTCATTAAAAAAAAGTTATTTCTATATATTTCTAACAGGAAGGCCTATTTTCCCAAATTTATCAAGTACTATTATATATGTGATTGCAGTAGCCGCAATCCAGAACAATTACAACAATCTGTGATATTCATTGCTGATGGTCTCATGGCGGTATTCGTGTTTACCGAAAGGGCATGATTTTTCCCATATATGCCTGGTTTTCAATGTACATGTACATGTATAAAGCGACGAGGAGACTCACTTGGTGTTTTAAGGATTGTTAGTTAACATGCTCCTTCAAGGCCTCAACAATGTCTGTATTGAGCATGCTAATATCTAAAGAAAATGGTAGATTTTAGTTATTTCACATAAAATAATTGTGTTTTTTTGCCTTTTCAGATATGATTCCACAGCCCTTAAAATAATGCTTTTACATAGTTGAACTTTTATAGGGCCATAAACTTAGATTTAAAAAAGATCAACCAATATTTTGCATCCCAAGATGTTAACGGGCAATCCAATCCAACAATCAATAACGATAAATCAGATTTTAGCAACTGTCCACAAAAATGTCTTTTGTATGAAAGCGGAAAATGAGAGAAACAGAATGGAAAAAGTTTGAAATAAATCAGACCAATAATAAGTAAGTGATGAGTGTTTGTAATACGAGATCACTAAATCTGTGTGAACTGCAAATTTGTAATTCTCATTCATCACATAAAAAAGTATATTAAAATCAAAGCTAATTTTGAAGCCTTATTACTTGCACCCCCCCCCCCCTCCTATTCGGAATGTACCATTACATGTACAACTGTATGTCACAGGTAGTCAGATATGAGTCCTATACAGTGTGTGTCCTTTTGCTTTTGATTTATCAACATTCCAGTTTGTCATCATTTCAGAATATATTTTTAAATGCCCTATTTGACCATAGTATTAATATTTAAAGATGATTACACATAGATCTACATGTATATACTCTACCTTTAAATGCCTATATGCTCTTATTACATAAAGGAACCTACAGTACAATGTATGATGCAAGTCATATTGCAAGCCGAAGAAGAGTAACCCTTTCGAATAGAATAAATGTCAAAGGAAATGGAACATACATATATGTATGTTCCATTTCCTTTGACATTTATTCATATGTATGTTCCATTTCCTTTGACATTTATTCTATTCAAAAGGGTTACTCTTCTTCGGCTTGCAATATGACTTGCATCATGCGGTGGCCTATCCATGATTGTGAAATGATGTGGGAAGATGAGAGATGAAAAGGGGGGGGGGGTGGTGGGAGGGTAGGATGCATGGGATAGCGCAGGGGAAATAATTATTTGTATATCCCAATAATATGTTTCATCCTGCAGAACATAAGAGTTCGCCAGCCCCCCTCCCCCCCCCCCCCCATCCACCTCACCAGATTTGCTGCTGTATGTTGTTTGTGTGGAGGCATGAGGTTATTAACTCTGTGTTAAATTATACAATTCAAAGTCCTTTTGATTCAAACAGGTGATGTTTTTTTCTTCTGTTTCATTTAATACTGTAGTACCAGGAAAAAAGAGGACCTTCTGAAAATAGCATCACAAGTGTTATGTACTGTCCTACTATATTTCTCAGAAAACAACTTGAAATTGTAATGCTATCAGCAAGATTGGTTTGACTATAACTTTTTATCATAGAATGGTAGCAAAATTTATTTAGATGAAAAATAATTAAAGGAGATCAAACTTCTCATAATTGTATGTTAAAACTTAGCTATTCTTTTTATGACACCCCCATTAAAAGAAGAAAAAGGCCCACATAGGTGCTTATTCATTGTGTGAGCAAATGATTCACAAACTTAAGTACTTGAGTTATTTTTTTATTTCATCGAACTGTGCAGATGTCAACCATCATCTAGCCATTTAAAGATACTTGTGTAAATCATGAAACATTAAGACAATATTTATTGACATTTAGGGTAATTAAGATATATCAAGTGGCAATGAATGTTGTTCTATGAAGTGCTTCATTCAGTTTGTGACAATAGTATAGTTGTTGAAAGTTGATAATTATGCTGATAGAAATTCTAGATCAACATTTATGTCAATGTCAATTTAGGATATTGTTTATTGATTTGTTATTTTGTAATAATTTCAATTCAATGTGCACAATATATTATTTTCTAATAATTGAATACTTCATTTTCATTTCAAATTAAGAAGACTACTGTAATTTACAATGAAGGCTTTACAGTTTGGTAGATAAAAACCTACCTAGTTCTGTATTCAATATTATCAGCTTTAACATGTACAATGTACATGTATGAAAGCTACATTGTACCCTTCAAAATATACAATTTGATTGTGAAATGCAAATAAATCAAAGGTTATTTGTTTGTTGAAATGTACCGGTATGTGGATTTCTGCCAAGATGTACAGTAGATTGTATAGAAATCAAATTCTTGTAATGTTATTAAATCATGTTTGTGAATGACTCGCTAAAATCAACATTAGTTGCTCAAATAGAATGAACTGAATATGACACCAAGGGTGATGGTATTGTACAAAAGTAGGAAGAAGCACTTGAGAAAATACATGGCTGAAAAACTAATATGTAGTTTTGTTTTATTCTATTACATGTACATGTAGCCCATTAATATATATAACTTGAGGACTAATTTCAAAAAAAGATTTGTTTTCACCACCATATAAGGATTTTGCTAAACGTGCATTTTCAAAGGTTTAGAGTTCCAAGAAAAGGAAGGTGGGGGTAGTTGTAAATGTCACAAAGAAAATGATATATTTACAACATTGAAAATAGACAAAATATTCTTTTAAAATGTTAGAGTCAGCTAGACTACAAGAATGTTTTAGGGATTCATCTGCTCCCCTTGAGGAAGAACAAACTTTAATATTTGTGGAGAACTGTAAGAGTCAATTAATGTACCGGTATACAAATGTAATGAGGCGAACCGATGTATTTATCCCACACTACACATGGGCTTCCAAGTATCAGTTTTACTTCACTTTCCATTTCTGCCTCATTTGCAGATTACATACATGGAAATTACTTTGTGATTCATATCTATACCAACCCTTGAAATTACTGAACCTTGCAATTACTTTTTTACCCTGAAATGCAATCTTCAGAGTCTAATGGGAACAATCATACATTTTTAATGCATGTGGTCACAGGCCAATGAATTATTGGGCAGTCTATAAACTTATTACTCATGATTGATGAAAATATAACGACATATGTTTTGATTGTCCCTCTGAAAAGCACTAATTGAACAGGCAGTGATGATAGGCTCATGATACCTGTGTTGGTAAATAGAGACAATAAATATGTCTCTTTTGTCAAGATGTACTATCTAGCTATCAATTAATTTGCTGTGAAATTGGACAATTGCAAAAACTATTTCATTGTTACAATCTGTTTTACAATTGCACACAATTTCCTGCTCTTTGATTACCACTTTTTTTGTTGGTATAAACCTGTTTAAAGTTAACCATGTGGAAAAAATGGAGTACACTGTACATAAATGCCTGTTTTGATACATTCTGTAGCTCCCTAATCTTATTTGGTTCCTGCATTCCTTTGAAACATTCGTTTTTGAAAACCAGAGAAAAAAGGAGATGTATTCCACTGGTGGAATGATGTATATATTTTAATATATACTTTTTGTACATGAAATGAAAGTATTGTAATTGTATACAGCTTAACCAAATAATCAATGGTTTGTTTTGTGCAAGTGTTTGAAAAATTCAGCCACGTGGTTAAAATGACATACATGGTAAGTAATGTATTTATTAGGATACATACATGTATATGTACATACATGCACTGTAGTGTTTTTTTCCAAAATGACACAGATTTGTACATTATGTCGTTGAGGCTGTGTGTATCTATCACACGAAACCTGTTAGGCCGAGTGTGATAGATACACACAGCCTCAACTCAAGTGCGGATAGATGGTATAATGAACTCATGCGCATGCATCATTTGTAAACTATTTATTTTCTTGCACTGGTTTGCCCCTCTTGATTTGGATTTCATGCAGACATGATCTGCCAAACAGTTATTAAAGCTAATGCTGATGTTTTTTTAATGTATATATTATTTCATGTACATCACAAGAGATTGCACAATGTCCATTGATTGCACTGTGAGTGATATTAAACAGAGTATTTACTACATGATAAAATGAGAGAAATGTTTGTTGTTTATTCATGATCTGATATTTAAGTTGTTTGACTCCATTATTTAACTTTCAGCACTAAGGCTGTTGCTCACCAGTTTTGTTCAACCTCTATTCATGAAATATTTGAAAAATGGGTTCTTGTTCATAGATCATACAAAAAAGTAGATTCTGTCAATTCAATGATAAGGGTTATTACCATTTACAACTTTACATCATTTATGTTACACATATATTGTCTTCAATCCATTATTGTGATAATGATTTTTTTTTAATGGACAAAATCATGCTGAATCAAGAACGAGCCTTTCACAAAATTACTTAAGACAATTTGAAAATTCTCCAGACATTGTACACATGCATATGTTGCAGAGTGCTCTTAAACCCTCATACTCTAATACTGTATTATAATATAAACATATTCTACGCTTATCAAATTCCATGATTCAGCTTAAATTAAAAAACAGACATACTAATTTATTTTTATTTTTTTTAATGAATGTGTATCATTTTTAAAAATAAAAATTAGCATTCCTGTTTTTTTATTTAAAGCTGGATTATGGATTTTATGAAATTTGATAATTGTGGAATAAAGAAGCATGGAAAAACAATGAAGAAGGGATAAGAGGAGGACAACTTTAATATTTCGTCCAGTGTCTTCTTGCATAAAAAAATGTTGCAGTGAAATGCAAATCAAAATTATTTAATGCAAGTCCCAAATACACAATCTTGTAATAGGTTGAAAATCAATTTGATTTTATGATGCATGGTTATAAACTTTTTGGCACCAAACTATTCAGGATAAAAAACCTATGGACACACCAACATGAAGCTGATGGGGAAATGTGGGAAGAATGATATCATATTTGATAATGATATATATTTATTTCTTACTTTTTTGCTACCAAATTATTTAAATGCAAAACCTACATGTATATGGTAAGAAGAAGATAAAGCACTTGGAGAAAACGAATGAGAATTAATAATTGATAATGTCAAGATGTTCATGCTCTGCAGACTGAAGAGCCCCTAGAGTTATTTATCTTTAGTTTAGTGCAACTATGGGGAAGGCACACAAACCAGAGTTTTGGGTTTTGTGAACGTAATGAACTTTCTGTCTGAAATCAACTTGTCTATGTCTGATATCAAAGGTGCAATGTTTTATATTATTAAATATCTCCTCCTTTTCTTGCATATATGAATTTTGACAACCACTTAAAGCTTATCTGCCATAGTTTACATGAGGGATTAGACCGCCCTACAAGGTCACTGGACAGGTGGTTATCTCATCAACTCAGCTCTCAGTTAACATAAGAAAAAGAGGATCATGGGGGACCAATGGTCACCGATTAGGCATTGTTTGTTATATAGAGGGCGCAAGTAGCTACAAGTATGGCAGTGGGCCTTTAAACCTTAGTCCGTCATACCATCATATTTGATAATGATATATATTTATTTCTTACTTTTTTGCTACCAAATTATTTAAATGCAAAACCTACATGTATATGGTAAGAAGAAGATAAAGCACTTGGAGAAAACGAATAAGAATTAATAATTGATAATGTCAAGATGTTCATGCTCTGCAGACTGAAGAGCCCCTAGAGTTATTTATCTTTAGTTTAGTGCAACTATGGGGAAGGCACACAAACCAGAGTTTTGGGTTTTGTGAACGTTATGAACTTTCTGTCTGAAATCAACTTGTCAATGTCTGATATAAAATGTGCAATGTTTTATATTACCGGGTATTAAATATCTCCTCCTTTTCTTGCATTATGAATTTTGACAACCACTAGATCCTTAGTCCCTCATACCCTTTACCGATAAATGCATGTATACCAATATGGATACTTATGATTAAAAGTAACCCCTTGTTATTTATTTACCTCTGTACCCCCCACTACCCCCCCCCCCCCCAA